CTTCTTATGCATCTTTTGTTGATGTTCTGGTCTTATGGGTGATAGCAGTAGACTGTTTTAAGTAGGGATATCATTTCCCTAAGCATGAGTGAGTTAGAAAATCCTTGATTCGGGATTTGTTTTGTATTAAAATGGATTTTTCTGATTTTGTTGACTTGGGTTATTTTCGTCACTGTTGATGATAACATCGAGTAGTGGGGTACTCGACGGCTGCTTGGGAGTACTCAACGACGGCTCATGCGGCTGGGGAATCGAGCGGTGGAGTCCACACCCGACTCTGGTGGCTGGAACGTTGGCTGGCGGTGGAGGCTGCTATTAAGGGATTAGGGTTAAAATCCTTAATCTGTTTGAGTTTGACAAATGGGTCGGTTGGGTCGGGTCGGGCCGGCTATGTTGGGTTGTTTCTGGAATTAGGTTGCTTTGTATTCTGGGCTGCTGGGCTTGTAACTAGGCTATGGGTTAGCTGTTTTGGGCCTCTGTTGAAGACCTGTGTTGCTTGTAATTTAGGTTCCAGTGGGCCTACAAAATGTGTAACAAAATAATTAATAATAATAATAATAATAATCATAATAATAATAATAATAATTTTGGTAGACCCGAACAAAAACGGGTGTCTACACCTAGCATAGAGAATCAGGTTGTAAATTAATTACACAATGCATCTCTATTAAAAAAATCGGAATTTCATTTTATTTAATTTTTTATTCTTCTAATTTCCTTTTTAAACTTTATTCTTTTATTTTTTTATTAATTGTACTAAAGTTTAAATTTAATGATTTTTCATATATAAAATATGTTTTCTGAAATTATTTTTTGAATTATTATATTTGTGTGGCTATTACTAAAGGTGTAAGAAGAAATTGGAGAAAGCTATCGTGTCTAAATATTGATTGATCATGAGACAACAATGAAAGTTGCTGGAAAAAAAATAATGTCGAAAAGAGAACATTTATATTAGACCTTATATGCATCTCATTGTTTACATTTATGCGTTGAAGTTATGGGAAGAAAAGCCTAGTGTAGCAAAAGTGTTAGATGAGGCTAAGAAAGTGACTTGCTTCATATACGATCACATTTGAACTGATGATCAATGAAGAAGTATACATACAGGAAGCAATTACTTCGACCTATTTTTACTCAATTTAAAACTCATTTTGTTCAGCATGAAGAGATAATAAGACAAAAGCAAGGCTTGAGATAAATGTTTAATTCACATATAAGTATTTTATAAATAATTATATAATTACTTAAGTATATCAACTTTTACTGTTTCATTAATTTTAAATAATTTAAATTATATTATGAATATTTATGAATTTAAAAAATCAAAATGAGGACAACAAAAATCAAGATCTGCGTATGAAGCCAAAAAATTTGCTTTGCTAAAAGATTTCGAAAAAAAGTCAAGTGACTTTATAAAAGTTTAAAAAGTATTGAACTTTGTTGATAGTGATTAAAATCAACAATAAATTTTATTTATGAGATTGTAGATAGACTTAAATGAGCAATTCAATATAATTGTTAATATTTTATCGAGTACAAAAATATTACTTACGATAGATGAAATTTTATGCAGTCTAATTTTCATTCAACTAGTAAGATAAAATCTCATATAAATAAGAATTTTTTTAAATTTTTATATTTTATTATTTATATATATTATTATTTTATTATAGATGAAATTTTATTATTTTAAAGGTTATATTATTATTATTTAACAATATTCATATATATTATGCTTAGATTATTTTCTCAATTCTTAATTTCAATTTGGGGTGGAGCATCTAAGAATATATTGATAGAAACATTAGAAGTACACTATGGGTAATTTAAAAATTAGAACCTTATCTTAATACTTAAGTTAAATGGTTAAAATTGTTAGATTCAAGTAATTTTTGGGTATAATTATTGGTATTCGATCTATTGATCGACTAATCCGAATCGGGTAATGCAGAGGCAAGGACGACCCTCTCAACCCAGTTTGCTCCATTCGCAATCGCCAGGATTCAAACCTCTAACCTTACTTAAGGGATCTAGCGTCTCATCACATTAGACAAACTGGTTGTTAGTATATTCAATTATTATTATTTGTAACTCAAATATATAATTTGAAAATATATTTTTTATTCATGTTTACTCTATCATTTATTTATACAGTTGTTAATATTTCAAGATAAACATGAGACAATCGGTATTCCACATGCATTAAAAGCATGAAAGTGAATGAAACAATTTAAATAATTAACTAAATTATTTATAAATTATTTAATTATATTGTATATTTTTAAAGTTATTTTGAAATTTAAATACTATTTTACAGATGACTGGTGGATAATATGTGACACATGTGTTCCTCAATTATAAAGATTAACAATTAAAATGGTTAGTGAAACAAGTTATATGCACCGTAACAATCTTTATATTTTCAACCTTCCCATGGTTATCCACAACCATATGATTATTATTTATCATTTTTTAATTAATATGTGTCATATGAACTTTAAATGCATCTTTCACCACCAACGTATCACCCATGTCCACTTCTCATATATCATCCTCTTCAAATATATCATCCACAACAATTATATGAAAATCAAGGTGAAAATATTAATTTTTTTATTTTTTTTTTAAAAAAAAGCCACAAAAATCAAATCAAGAAAGGTCTCAAAATGAAGGTGAAGGATCTGAGCCTCCTCACTTTTTTAATTTGTTAAATTTAAATTATTCTTCTATCACTTTTTTGCAAGATGTGTTTTTTTAAATAGATGATTTATTAATATTCTCAATTTTAGTAATATTAAACCTTTATATCTTCCTTCTCAATTTTAATCTTTGACTATTATTGTCTTTGTTGCAGTAAATTGAATTTTGTCATATTTGTTCTCAAAATATTCAATTTCGATGAGTTTAAAGTCATTTTAATTCTATGTATTTTATTTAAATGGTGTTACTCAACTTTCCAAATTCATCTAAAGATAAGTAATTTGTTGTTTCTCCGGTGACTCCAACTACCTCCCTTCCGTTTTCTCTCCTGTCTATCTTCTTCCTTGATCACGTTAATTCCTTCCTTCAATTGACTGGAGGAAATTGTTTGGGTGTTCATCAGGGCAATAGTTAGAGTATTTTCTCCCAAAATTATGAGATGGGATTCCTTCAGTTCAACCTCCCCTGAGGTATTTGATGCTGGTATTGTTGAATGGAGACTTTCCTTGGTTGGACAATCCCTTGGAGCTGCACCGAATTTTAATTCTTTACAAAGGATTGCCGATAATCTTTGGAAAAAGACACTGCAAGGAGCTTATGTTAAGGTTAATCTAGCTGGAAACAACCTCTACATTTATTCTTTCAATTCTGAATCGGCTAGGGATTGGGTTCTAGAAAACGGTCCCTGACACATTCTAAACAAACATTTGATCCTCAGAAAATGAGAACCAAACTTAAAAAGGCTAGATTTTGATCTTTCCAGAATCCCAATCTGGGTTCATTTATATCATATACCTCTAGAACTTTTCTCAAGAGCGGGATTAAGTTATATTGTCAGTGCTATAGGAGTTCCATTATCTATGGATTCTATTACTGCCTCCAAATCAAGACTTGAATTTGCAAAAATTTGAGTTGAAACTGGAGTGAACGAGGAAATTCTTAAGTTTGTGGATGTAATCCTTAGCAACAGGAAGGCAACATCAATTACTGTCGAAGTACCCTGGTTACCTCCTTGCTGTAGAAAATGTAAAATCTTCAGACATGCCGAAAAAGGATGCTTTGAACAATCTAATACTGCCTCAGCAACCTCGCAAGTTTGGAGAAAAAGGGAGCAATGACTACTACCTTACCGGCCGAAACTGTTGAAGGCATCAAATTGCTGCAGGAACCGGGGTTACAGGGTGCCAAAGATAATGACGTTCAGTAAAATAAGCAAGAGGTAATTGGATATGAAGCAGTTTAACCAGAATTAAAAGCTGATCACAAAAACACAGCTGCAACGCGTGAAGCACCGGGGATCCAGGAAGCTAAAGTAAACGACGTGCAACAAATTAACGAAAAGGCAATTGGAATTGGGGCCACTCCAACAGGAACAATTGCTGCACCGAAAATTACTGCTACAACATTTGAACACATGGAAGACCCTACCACATCATTGGAAGGAACACAAAACGCTGACCATCCAACTTTAGTCAATAATTTAATTGATGACGAACAGGTACTTGCACCCGCACCAACCGGTTCAAACGAAGGAATAATTATTGCAGATCATCCAGTTCCTAAACGTGGCAGAGGAAGGCCAGCTAAGGATAAGTCAAAAGCAACTTTTATTGGATCCAAAAGATGATTTAATGTCCTTAATTAAGTGGACGAAAATCCTACCATAATAGAATATCAAGGTAGGAAAATTCGTTCAGCATATCTAGGTGTTGCAGGTTTGGTTAATGACCTCAAAGCAAAAAAGAAAGATCACCTAGACTATGCAAAAAGTCTAACATGTTGTGGTAATGGGGTGAAATGGACCCTCATTCTCTATGATTTTTAGCTTCTGGAATATTAGAGCATTAAACAATCCTCTAAAACAAACAAAAATCTTGCAAAGGGCTATTATAAATAATGTTGACATTCTCTGTTTACTCGAGACCCGTGTCAAATTGGAGAAATCAAAGGAAATTTTCAAATCCAAATTTACAGAATGGAATACCTGTTCAAATTACGAATTTGCTTCAAACGGGAGGATATGGATTCTTTGGAAAAAAGATTTAGACATCTCACATTGTCAAGCTACAGCTCAGTCTGTTACTATCAGTGGCTCTTTTAAGGGTATTCCCCTGATCATTACAACTATCTATGCCAGTAATGATGGTATTACTAGAAGACAACTCTGACATCATCTTTGCGAATTGGAAACAAATTTTGGATCATTACCATGGATATTAGGAAGTGACTTCAATGTTATATTGTATTCGAATGAAAGTTCAAACTACGATCTTATGGGTCTACTAACAACACCAGACATGAAGGACTTTCAAGAGGTCACTCAAGATCTTCACCTTCAAGACCACCCTTTCTTTGGTACTTCCTTCACCTGGAGCAACAAACAACACCAATTTTTCTTGCAAAGAAACTTGATTGCTCATTTGTGGAATTCCTTGCACCTGTCGCTTCTGATCATTGTATGGCTCTGGCTTGGATCAATAGAGAGACCCAAGCTAATCGACCAAAACCTTTCAAATTCTTCAACTTCTGGACTCTTCATCCAATTTTGTTAAAAACCGTTCGACAGTCATGGCATCCACCTATTCAAGGAAACCCGATGAAGGTTCTTTTCCTCAAGCTTTTAAGCGTCTAAAATCATGCCTCAAAATCATAAACAAAGAATGTTACAGTGATATTTTTGCTCGAGTGCATCAAAAGAATAGAGAGCTTGAACAACATCAACTATCAACTCTAAGAGGAGAAGACGCTATTGAAAATGAGTTGAAGTTATAGAAAGAGCTTTTATCCCTTAAAGAAGCAGAGTGCATGTATTTAAAACAAAAGGCCAAAGTGCAATGGTTAAAAGAGGGCGAAAAATGCATTAAATTCTTCCATTCTATTATTGCAGGTAAAAACAAAATAGACACCATACGAATTCTTGTTAATGAACAAGGCAAAAGGCTTGAAACCTTTGATGAAATGGCTTCTGAAGTAACTAAATTTTACTCAAGTCTTTTAGGAACTGCGAATTCACACCATACTTTTCAAAATGTCATGGTCAGTGGTTGGAAAAGACGTAGTAAATGATATCAAATACTTCTTCCAAGAGACTTTCATCCTTCCGACTTTTAATGCTACTACCATTTCCTTGGTTCCAAAGGTTCCCAATCCCAAAAGGGTTAGAGACTTTCGGCCAATATCATGCTGCTCTATCATTTATAAGACAATTACAAAGATCTCCTAGTCAAAAGGTTGACTCCACTTCTTCCAGGGATAATTTCTCTCAACCAATCCACTTTTCTAAAAGGTAGAAATATTGCTGACAACACCCTCCTTGCTCAAAAACTGGTTAGAGGTTATTGAAGGAGAATTATTTCTCCTATATGTGCCTTGAAAATTGACTTACACAAGGATTTTGACACTCTATATTGGGGCTTCATTTATGTTATGCTTAAGGCTTTACAACTTCCTAATACTTTCATTGGTTGGATTGAATCCTGCTTTAACGAAGCCAGATACTCCATCTCGTTCAATGGAAGCTTGATTGGCTTTTTCAAAGGTGCAAGGGGAATAAGACAAGGTGACCCTCTATCTCCTATCTTATTTGTTATTGCAATTAATGTCCTCTCTTGTCTCCTTAACTTGGTTGCTACTAAAGGCTTGTTTGGATATCATCCTAAATGTAAGAAGCTCGGCCTCACTTACCTTTATTTTGTAGATGACCTGTTAATATTCTGTAAGGGAAATATTGAATCTGTTTATGGAGTCATTAGTGTCTTGGACCAATTATATGAAATGTCTGGGCTAAAACTTAATTATGCCAAATGTGAACTTTATATTGTTGGAATCACTTTCAGAAATCTTGAGCATATTTTACAGTCCACGGGATTCAAACAAGGATGCTTTCTAGTGAGATACTTAGGAGTTCCTTTAGTCACAAGGAAACTCATTGAAAAGGACTGTGTGGTCCTTATTGAAAAGATCAAATCAAAACTTCACCACTGGTCGGGAAAGCACTTGAGCTACGCCGGCAGATTATAACTTAACAGAGTTATCCTCTTCAGTATTGCAAATTACTGGTGTAGACAATTAATTATTCTTCAAACTATTATTAACAGGATTGAACAACTTTGCTCCAGATTTTTCTGGAAAGACACTGATAAGGTTGCCTCTGGAGCCAGAGTTAGATGGAAGAAGATTTTCCTATTGAAATCTGAGGGAGGACTCGACTTAAAAGATATTAAAACATGGAACAAAGCATGTATGATACAACTTTTCAGGAACATTCTTGCGGGAGAGGGATCATTGTGGGTAGCTTAGATCAAAAGCTACGTTATCAAAGATGCAAACTTTCTATTAGCGGAAGATATAGCAAATTCAAGTTGGTGTATCAGGCGCTTACTCAATCTAAGAGCAGTTGCAATCTCTGTTTTATCCACATGAGCAACGACGACAAAAGATTTCTGGAAAGAAATACGGGTAAAAGGAGATAAAGTCATATGGCACAAATTGATATGGTTTCCTCTACACGTTCCCAAACATAGCATGATTACATGGATGGTTGTTCTAGATAGACTTCCAACTAGAGAGAGGCTCCTGAGATTGGGAATTTTAATCGATGGTTCATGTATAATTTGCAAAGAAGCAATGGAGACTACGGACCACCTGTTTAGCGAGTGCTCTCTGGCAGTTTCCTTATGGAAGGCTATTCTGAATCTCTCCGGCTTAAGCACTCCTTCATTACCTTGGGTGAGCATGTTAGACTGGGCCAGTGGTGCTTGGAAAGGTAAGTCCCTCTTCACTACTATCTTGAAACTTGCTTGGTGAGTTTTAGTCTACTTCTTATGGGAGGAAAGATATAGAAGATTGTACCAAGGAAACACAAGAAGTGAGAAAGAAATTATGAGTTCAATTAAGGAGATTGTAGGTATTCAATTAAGAGGAAGGAATATAAATAGATTAGATAGTCTTAATATTTACCTTTGTAATAGTTGGGGTGTTGACCACCCACTTTTGTTGTAGTATGTTGCCTTTTATCCCATTGATGGGAGATTTTATGTAGCAGAATTCTGCATCTTGGGTAATAAAATTAAAATTATCCAAAATTATTGCATTGAAAACTTTTTACAGTCCCACTGCACGTTGAACCCAATTCTAGAAATTATATGCCTCAACCAATATTTAAATTGGTCACCTAATTTCTTCAATTCAATTATTTTTCAAATCTTTTGATAATTTTACTATTTCTAAAGTTGTTAAAAATTTATAATTTTACTATTTCAAAATCGTTAAAAATTTATGACTTTTAAAGTAGGACTTTTAATTATTCTATTGACATTTTTTCGATAGAAACTTACAAACTTATTAAATATGATGAGTGTTTAATATTTTTTTTATTTATCATGATTTAATATAATATTCTTAAGAAATATATAAATAAATATAAAAATAATGAATGATTGTAAAAATTGTGTTCCCGTATTAATAAAAGTTTATAAAGTTAGAAAACACTCTAAAACATTAACAGCGATTTTTTATAATTATAATTATAATTATCATATTTTATAATAAATTGTGTGAATTTCAAAAAAATCCACCTTGCCATAGTTAGGGGTGTGGAAATCTCAACTCCACTCGAAAAATCAATTTAAAAAAATTTGACTCTAATTGACTTCGAGTTATAATTTCATATACTCGACTAAAAAAATTGAAGTTCAATTCGAATTGTAAAATCAACTCCAATAACTCGAATTTTTTTAAAATTAGTTGATTGATTACTTACAATTGTTGAACAAGTCCGGTGTCATATGGTGACAGATGCTACATGCCGGAATTGTTGGCGGACTGTTCAGGACATCAGTCATATTTTAAGAACCTGCCCAGTAGCCTATACAGTATGAAAACAATTAATAGAGCAAAACAAATTGGATAATGTAAAAGAATATCAAAGAATAGAAAGATTGAGAAAGAAACTTATTGTATTATCAAGCTAGAACTACTGCAAGGGGAGCTTCTATGCCTTCTTCATTTGTTTCCTTGATCTCACTTAGTTTATCTTCTTCTGTTGTTTCATGTGAATCTACATCAACTGTTGGCACTTGTACTAACTGAGTTTCTGCTTCATCTTTTTAGCTTTGCCCCGTAGAACCACCTATACTCCACACAAGATCATCAATCCTCCTATGATACATCCTAAGTAGAGCTTAGATAATGTATCAATCGTTTCTGTGGAATTCTTGGATTTGCTTTGTTGGTGTTCTTGGTTTCATGGGCGGTTCGTTTGATGAATCCTTTGTATGCATCTATTGTCAATCCCTTGGGGCTTGTCTTTGTTGCCATTCTTGGATCTTTGTTAATCGATGAAAAGCTCTAGTTAGGAAGTATGATAGAAGGATTGATGATCGAGTGTGGAGTATACATGGTGCTATGGGACAAAGCCAAAGAGATGAAGCAGAAAACTTGGTACCAGTGGTAACAGTTGATGTAGATTCACATGAAACAACATAAGAAGATAAACAAAGTGAGATCAAGGAAACAAAGATAGAAGCTCTCCATGCAATACTTCTAGCTTGATAATACAAGAAGTTTCTTTCTCAATCTTTGCTATTCTTTAATAGATGATTTCTAGACATGCTTACTGCACCCATGGATTGCAAAGAATCTGTTAGGCTCAACATATGCTAACAAGGGAATTGAGGATTGACCAACTTTCTTTAGTGCTGCATTATGGGATAAAAGGAATAGGTCAATATTGATCCTGATAATCTAATATCTCCAAACATATTTGTATATATATATATACTAGTCATATGCGTAGAATCCGGATAATTTTCAACTTTGAAGTGAAAAATTATTTGTAACCGTTTATACTTATTAAAATGGTTTAATGGGTTAAAGCAACTGAACCCATTGATTGTATTAAAATATAATCAAATAAGTAATCTTAACACAAAATAAATATTGAATATAACAAACATTTAATGAAAATATGTATATTACCACGTTGCAAAATTTAATAGGAATATATGTTAAAACTATACATAAATTTAGTCAAATAGACAATGCTATATATTTTCTTTATCGAAATATGTAAGCTTATGCATTAACTTTGATTTTATGTAATTACATAAATAAATCATTAATAATTTGGGATCATCTAAAAAATTTAAATTAAATCTAAAACGTTAACACAATTTGATCCAATTAAAGAAGACTGATCTCCTACATTGTTATTTTAAAGATCAATTCTTTACGTGAATAATCTTTCAAAAATTAGCCTCTAATTAAGCATTTAACCTATAAAATATGGAGGAAACAGTTTGACATTCACTATATACATATATATGGTTTGCTTCAATCCAAGGACGGAGCCAAAATTAAATATTAACAGAGGCTGGAATATTGGACTATTTAAGAAAAATATAAAGACTAATTAGATATTTAAATTCAAAATTCAACACGAACCAAGAGATCTTAGTGATTAAGGGATTGTTGTTATACTTGAGGTCTCGAGTTCGAACACTGCACATGTAGAGGCATGAGAATTTATTGTCAAATAGTTGAGAGTTTTTGTATAAATATTAACTTGTATTCACCCTGGATTTAAAAAAAACTCAAAATTCACAATATAACACCTAATTTGTTTAATATTTAAACTTACAATTACCTAAATTGTTATTAAACCAAAAATTTTGAGAACAAAGGATTATCTATCTTTAGTTCAGTTCTGACTTGATTAAATATTTAATAAACTTTTGTTATTTATAATTTAAATATTTATTTTTACATGAACCAAGATACTATTAAACCAAAATTATATCGAATATATAAATTTTAACACCGCCCCTGCTGTCATTGGCCGTTTTGGTCTTCTATCATCCTTTCCCTCAATATTCATCCAAATAAGTATACAGCATATCATCTTTCATTGATTTGCGACGACCAAAAAATGCTCTGAGTCTCTTACTTTTGGTGGGAATTTGTTCAATGTCTTTGGTGTTGTCTTTCTCAGAATCAACAGCAGATTTTCGAGGCTCTGATGGATACTGCCAATTCAAACCAAATTCAAATTAGAATTTATAGATCGTAGTCATCCTTAACAGAGTATGGATTGCTAAAAATGTGCTGCAATGCTTCATTGATAGACTTAAGCATATAAATGAAACTACTTTACACTCACCCGTTGCCTCGCACCAGCTGAATTCGGAGTAGTTGACCGGCTCTTATTCAGGGTTATAGGCCTGCTAGCAGATCCATAACTCAAACGAGGAAATCGATGAGGTGATACCGTTCGCTTCTCTGATTATACGTATAAACAGCATCGTATCATCAATGAGCACGAACATGCATTCATAAGTCATAACCGAAAAAAGTTTTAAGGAAATAGGATGGTAAAAGAGATAGAAAGTACATCAACCTAGTTCTTTCTTTGGTGGAGTAGCAGTAAAGGAAAACGTTGTCGATCGCTGTTGAGGCCGAGGAGAAGGAGATGGAGAACGTCATCTTCTGCAACAACCATTACTAGAATAGTTGGCATTCATGCTCTAATTACAACTAAATAACTATGGTCTATTAATGCAATTCACCAGAAATGTAATGGTGATCTTTACGTGAAGATGTCGGGGTTTCCCTGACAGATTGCGGCGGTGGTGCTTCCCTAATTGTAGCTCGAACAGATTTAGAGGAAGGATCTAGTTACATTGGAACCTTATCCAAAACATAAGAGATGATGCAAAAGGATAGATAAAACAACTACCACTCCTAAACCGATGGCAGTTGTCCTCACTGTCTAGACAGCATCCTTGATATTTTGACTTGGTTTGATTTGCACCATGCAAGGTCTCCCCAACTGGGATTTGATCAAATACATTAAAAACAGCCAAATATTCTTTCCCGGTTATTGCAACAAAATGGAAAAAGGCGAAGAGAACAGAGTAGAGTCGGGTAATTGCCTGGCAACATGTAACTTTTATGGTACTTCGGTGTTTTAATAATCGACGACTATTGGGAAATTCCTTCATGGTCAATATATTCTTGGCATTTTCGTACTCTCTGCAGTGCCACATTCAAGTAAGGAAAAGTTCAAAACTTTGTAAGCACATAACAGCAAAGGCTAGAATCAAAGTCATCTCACCAAGAAATGAAAAGAATTCAACCTTAACTCTTCGACACAAGATACCCGACGCTCTGTTCCAGAAACCTCATCAACCTTTTCTTCCAAAAAATCGTTAACCTTGTATGTCACAGAACCTAGATGATCGATGGTGTTCACAATGGCTTTTGCAGCATAATCCTTTAATGTTTCTACCACTCTTCATATACATGACAATCTTTCTTCATAATCAAAAATAGGAGAAAATGGAAGTAACCAAACTTGAACAACGCTGAAAGAAATGAGCTATGATGAATTAGAGTGACTCACATCTGCTTTTGGTCATCATTAGTGTAGGACAGCTCGAAATACTCGGTTGCTGAGTAGAGTTGTGTTCTGAGTTTTTTCAAATCCTAAAATAAAAGATCTCTGTGATAAAACCATGGATATGAGATATAAATGCATTATCTAGCGGTGTGAAGTGCCGAATCTGTGCATATCGCACTCGACTGATATAGATGGCGGATTAGCAATACTAAGACAAACCCACCAAATTAGGCAGTGATTTAACTGGAGCGTGCAATCAGTTTGGCCATCAAAATGCTAAGCATACAATCTAGAAGGACCGAATTTCAACCAGGATATAGAAGAAAAGAAACAAAACAAAGATTTCAACTTTAAGGAAGATCCTATTCTTTCAAGCCTAAGAAGTAAACAGACAAAATATCATTAACTCTCATACCTTGAGACTCTCAGAGAATAACAAGCCCTGCTGCATAGAAACCTCTTCATAATCAGATTCTTCTCCAGACATCGGCATTGCTGCAAGGAGACCGGACCAAGTATGCCTTAACATGTATAATCAAAATAACCAAATTTATTTCAAGCAAATGGGGGAAAAGGGAGAGCAAGAAAAATAGCTCATCTAACATCAAACAAAAACTATAGAAATCATATATTAAACATAAAACCTCATTGAATCTTGAGGATGTTTAAATAAGAACCAGAACAATATGAAATCACCAAGCTTGAAACTTGTAGACAGGGTGAGACACTTCAAAACTAAGTTACAACTAATAAGATACAAAAAAGCAATTATTCCAACCAAATGCAATAAGAAAACAAATAATAAAAGACAGACAACACTTTGCCAGTTGCTGAACTTCTGCTACTACCCAGAAATAAAAATAAGGAAATAAACAATTCTCATACACAAAATCGACAGATAATAAACTAAAACACTTGATTGTGATACATAGGAGAAACCCCATTTTGTCTGTGAATCTTTAGCAATATTCTAAGTGCATTAAACATTTAAAAGGAAAAGGAAACTCCAAAAACTGGAAATTTTCCTTGCCCTTTCTTTATTTGCAGAGACAGCCAGAGAACAGTGTATGTTGAGATACTTCCCAGAAAGTGTGAATGTCGTTTCAGCTGAACTAAAGCCAAATTGGTAAATGGCCTTATACCAGACTCAGCCGAGTGAAGCAAATTGTAGGCCTTGTCGGGTCATCTCCTTCCCTTTTTTTCTCAGAATTTCAACATTTAAAAGCTCAAAACTAACCAAAATAGAAAGTGGGCTCTCAACAAAATTTGAAGGAAAAAAAAGCTAACCTTCTCTTAGACAAGCTTGTTGTTTTATTCCCACTTCTATCGCAGATGAAGTTGTAAAAACCGAGACCCACTTCCAATTCAACCTTTAAAAACCAGCACAAGTTGAGCAAGGTTTTAAGAAAACAACAATATCAATCGGCGGTGGGAGCAGCGCAAAAGGCAAAAACTTGCAGTCTTACTCGAGGAAGAAGCAATTGGCAGCCAGGTTATTTACTTAGCACGTCTTGATACCGTAAATGTTATATTATTTAATCAAAAATATTATTTGAGGTGATAATAAAAACGTTAATAATCGATTATGTTACCGTCTTAGGTAAAATACGTCAAAAAAATATAAATAATAATATAATTGGTTAATTACTGAAAATATTATCAAGCATAATAATATATTAGGTAATACTTGTATAAAGTAATAGGTAGCGTCTTTTTAAAGCTAATAGGACTTTGAAAATCTGACGATAACTTAACCTGTTAATTACTTGAAATATTATCAATCATAATAACATATTATGTAACACTTATATAACGTAATAGGTAGCACCTTTAAAGCTGATGAGGCTTTGGAAATCCGACGATAACAAAATAAGTTAATTACTTAATTTTTTATTAGTATTATCAATATATTAGGTAACGCCTAAAATGCTAACAAAATTTAAGCTGATGGAGCCTTAGGAATCTGACGATAACATAACTGGTTAATTACTGGAAACATTATCAAGCATAATAATGTATTAGGTAGCGCTTATGTAACGTAATAGGTAGCGCATTATTAAAGCTAATTTGATCTTAGAAATTTGACGAT